AAAAAAAAAAAAAAAAAAAAAAAAAAAAATGTAAGTGTAACAATTTCTCCGGATTCGCGTGTATTAAAAAGGAATCGGCACGTTCCAGACTATTCGTATTCCCCTTCTCCGCCCGACCATTTAGTTTTATTTATGTCGACGATGTGTTCGTGAACTACGTGGTCCCCGCATAATTTACGAGTGGCGACAAAATAAAAGGGAATACAGGTTACGGTTAAAATAAAAAGAAATTACTCAATAATCCTTAACATAATGCAGTTGCTCCTCGGCATTGCAAACGACTGCGTTATTTTCATCTCAAAAATTAATTGTATTTAATGGCAATATGCCAATAGTAAATAAAATGTCAGTCGTGAAACGAGAACTTAACAATTAAATAAGCAAAATATTTATTTGTCAAAAAAGATTACTTAATACCACTTCAATATTACATTGAAATTTGAGATTTTTTTTTTCTTTTTTTTTTTATGTTGAAAACTGTATATCGAGCTTATTCTTACAAAACAACACGAATTATTATTACTCCGTTAATTGCAATTTTTCGTGACTGTAAAGGTAAGAGCTCTTAATTCTATCGCATTATAAAGCTTTAAATATTTATTTTACACGCTACTTCGTTCCTATAAAGCCGATAATGTATTTATCGTAGCTTACAGCTTTACGACGATTTTTCAATTGAACTTTCCGGTTTCTCTACGTATTCAGCATTTTTTTTTCTGCAAGTTCTTTTAACCGAATTGAACAATTTTACCAGATGTATTGAAACTTATAATTTAAAGGATAGGCATAAGAGTATTTTTAAAGCATAAACTTAAATTTTTTTACAAATAAGTGCATATTGTACAAATATCGGAAACAGCATTACCTCGAATAAAAAGAAATTAGTTCACACATATTTTCACACACCCGTTTCAATGCACCTGTATATTAAAACAAGAAATAAGCAAAGAAAAACGATTCATTATTCCAAAAAGTTTTGGGATTTATCCTGAAAATTCAATTATTAACTTTAATATTATATCCCAATATATATTCAATCGACTAATTTTCACACGAAATCTGGTTTTCATTATACGTATTTTTCGATTTCAAGTAAAGAATTTAAACCGTAGATTACCAAATTGACAAGTAAAAAAAAATCGTATCAGGTATTACTGTAATTTATTCAATCTATCGCGTTGATCTGAAATATAAACTCAAATATTAAATGTACGTCGTTCTTAATTAAGTTGCAGAATGTTCAATTATTTGTGCTTAATTAAATTTCAATGTTCGGCTCTTGATACTTGAACTTTGCATTTACATTAAATGCCAATTTACTTATATTTTTGTTGTTTTGTATTGTTAAATTTATTGTCGACCTTAAGAAGAAGAAAAGTATATTAAATTCTATAAATTGTCTGCTATTTCGCAATAAAGCTCGAGTGATAATTAATGTCCAATTAAAAGCTCGCATAATTAACCTAAGAAGAACATTGAATTTAATTATAAATTTTGATACAAATTTATGCGCGTGATTAATAACGTTTGAGCAATAATATCGAATAATTATATATATATATATTATGTATTTTAGGATAGGATCTCTACATCATGATATTTATTTTAACAAATTATTTTTATTTGAGCAGAATGCATTGAAAGTACAATAAAGTCTACCCAAACCACAAGAAATTATACCAAATAACGTTATAATGATAGGAGTTTTAAATAATTATAATATGTTATAGGAAAGCTAGTTCACGTGAATCGTAAGATGAACTTATTAAAGATTACTTGAAACTTACATTTTAACATTATATACTTGTAGAAATTGGCTTATACTATTTAAAAATAATTTCCATTATAATTCTATTGGCTCGTCCTAGCGATGGGAAATTAAATGACATACAACGCCAATAAATTTACCAAAATCCATCGATTATAGACATTAGCGTCGCTTAATAATAAATACAATCTTTTAAAAATATATAAGATCTATAAATCTTTAAAAAAAAAACACTTAAACAACTATAAAATCTAAAATATTATTTCATTGCATTATCAATGGACTTTGCATCTGCCACGAACAATCAAAAGTTTGCAAAAATTATTCGTTTGCGACTACGACTTGGTGCAGAAATCTCATGGGACTCGAGTAATCGGACTTTCGCATCAATACTCGAGTTTCCCATGAGTTATTACTTAAGCTCTTAATTGGAATCGAACATTCGTTTATAAACGTAAGAATAAAGTACAAATCTATAGCATCTCAATGTTTGAGATTTTCTGCCCATCTGGAGCACTCGAAAATTCATCTCGAGCCGACATGGAGTCGGTAACATAACATAACCATACACGGGGTTTGTAATGTAATGTAAAGGAGTAGCCGCCGAGCCTAAAGGACCCGGCCAACAATAAAAGAACTATAACGATAATCCCATTGTTTGTTTGGTAGTGGGATCGCGCCTGGAGAGTCGGAATCCCGTCGTGCAGGTCGGCCCGTCCAGCAGCATCACCGCATTCGGAAAAGCGCGGGACCGAGGAGAAGTTGCGCGCGCCGTTTGCGCGCTACGTCCCCACCACAGCATCCTAGCTACGAGGAGACGAGGACCGAGTGCCCGAGTGCCCGAGTGCTCGAGCGAGCAAGAGGGAGAGAGATAACGAGGACTCTAGGAGGAGGAGGAGGAGGAGGAGGAGGAGGAGGAGGAAGAGGAGGACACCTGCTTAGCCGATAAAATGAATGAGAATGATAAGTCAGTCGAGGCCCAGGAGGAGAGCGAGATGGTTGAGCGCGAGCTGGCCGAGGACGCCGAGTGGAAGAGGATCCAGCAGAACACGTTCACTCGCTGGGCCAACGAGCACCTCAAGTGCGCCAACAATCACATCGGCGACCTCGAGAGCGACCTCTCGGATGGGCTTAAGCTCGTCAGCCTGATCGAGGTCCTCGCCCAGAAGAGGCTTCCCAAGCACAACAAGCGCCCGACCTTCAGATCCCAGAAACTCGAAAACGTCTCGGTGGCGCTCAAGTTCCTCGAGAACCAGGGCATACGCATCGTCAACATCGGTACGCACCTTTATTATTCGCTCTCGCTGCTATTGCGCGCCCTCATTATGCGCACGTGCCGATCCGCGCCCGTGCCCGCCCTTCTATGCCCCTCCTCCCCCCCCCAAACCATCCCTCAAAAATTCCTGGCTCGGATGAGTTCGCGAAATTTCGCGGGATACAAGGGTCCGCTCGCTCCTCGGCCTCTACCGGGACACTGTTAGCGCCGGACTGGGAATGCGCGCGCTTATCAGTCGGCCCCCGACGATTACGACGGCGCGCGCCTCTCAACCCCGGTGCTCTTAATACGAACGAGCTTCCATCGTCGTCGCGTTTATAGCAAAGCCACGGGCTACGGCCGTTAAAGCTCCAAGTCCGAGTGTCACTCGACGCCCGGCTCGGGGCCACGACTATGCTCATGTAAGAAGGGAGTGGCCAACGTTCGACGCGTCTCGTCGGGACGCTCATCGGCCTCGGGGCTTCGGGTTTTGGGTGTAAGCGTGAAGAGGAGGGGGAGAGGGAGAAGAGGCTGACCGGGTCGCGATTGCGGGCGGTAGAGGCGGCGGTGACACAGGGGGCGGGGGTAGAATGGTAGGGGGCGAGGGAGAGTCGTTTGGGATAAATGTCCTTAGCGAGTTGTAGATTGTCAATTTAAAGAAAAAGCCACTCCGATTAGCGCTCGGGCAAATGATCACGAGGAGGTAACGCGGATCTCGGCTCGGTCGCTCGGCCGCCCGCGCATTTCCACGTGGCGTAAGACGGCAGATATCCACGGTTGCGATAGGGGTGAGCGATGGGGCGTAAGAGATGGGTAGGTGGAGAGGAGAGACCGGAGGGTCGAGCTTCCATAGAGAATCTCACGGGTCGATCGATTATTTAGCCCGGGAGAGAGAGAGGAGCTTTTCCACCCCCGGCGGTGAAAGTGCATCGGACTTTCTCGACCCCCCAGGAATCCGCGTGTGACGCGTGCGCCGGAGAGAGCACGTGCTGCCTCCTCGTCGCTCCTTCCCCATTCGCCTCCTCGTCGCATTTGCTCCTTATGTAACTCTCTGTATGTATTTCTTTCTCTCTCTCTCTCTCTCTCTCTCTCTCTCTCTCT